CACCCTGTGGCTCCTGGCTAGAGTCCCAGAAGCTGTACATGGCGGTACTCACTAGGGCCCAGCATGCCTGAGTCCCAGGAGCCGCACTTGTGACACAGAGCAGGGCAGTTGCCCATGGTTCCCTCCAGCTTTCTCACAAGAGGAGTTCCTGGGACCCTTCTTACCTGAATTTCCACTCTTGCATGGAGGGAGGGCTGGGGAACAGCCACAGGGTCGCCAGGCAGAAGCCTTTGCTGGGCAGAAGTTTCCTGTCTCCAAGGCCCGCTATCTTGGGGGTGAGGGTGAGGCTAGGCTGTGGTTGGGGTCGGTTGCTAAGAGACTGGTTCCCGAGTTTGGACTGCAGCCAGCACCTCCTGCAGCCAGCGCCTCTGACAGCCCATGCCCATACCTCCCACTGACTTTCAGATGGGCAGTTTTGGGCCAGTAATAATTATCTTTTGGAGGGACCCCATGGGCCAAACAGAATGGCCTGGCGGTTCAAATCCAGCCCGCGGGCCGTCTGTTGCCTGCCCCTAATGAGCAGTTAGACCGGTGCTCATGATTGAATGAGAGTTAGCCCAGGGATCCCTAGGGCTGCCTCCTTTTTCACAAGGATAGTTACATCAAGGCCTGGCAGGCGAGCATAAGGACAGGAGAGACAGGGGTTGACAGGCCACCAGGGAGCATCGCAGCCACACCTGGGGCAGGCTCCAGTCACAGCCTGGTTTCAAAAACATCGATCTCAGCAGATGCTACAAATGCTCACTTCATCTGGAAATGGGGGTGTGAAGCTTTATATCTAGGTGAGACAGACAGGGATACTCATCATTGTGCAGAATGAGAAACTGAGGCACGGTGAGGTTACATGACTTCCCCAACAGCCTCTGAGAGACTTGGTGTCAGACCATGTTGGAAATCAGTAATCCCTTGCTCTAACTGTGCTTACATGAAACTCAGTTGAGTTACCTTTTCCAGGGGGGGCTGCTGTTAGCAGGAAACACAACACTTCTGTAAGGTCCTCTCAACTATATCAGGATATCTTGGGGTGGACCCCACTGATCTCTCAAAGTCAGACAGAGGAGCAGGAGAGTCTCTCTGCCCTGCAGCCATAGCCCCTCCCTGCCTGCCATGGTCCTCTCTCCTCTTGGCTTCCTGCCATGGGGAGAGCTCCCTCCCAGAGCCCCACTACCACTGGTGGTGTGTGGTCCAACTGGCCCACCCCTATGACTTGCTGGAGTTGGTGTAGTGGTGCTGTCACAGCTCCCATGCCCACGTGTGTGTGGATCCAGACCAGGCGTGCTGTGTGGCTGCCTCACTGAAGCTCCAGGCCATTGGCATTGCTGTGGAGAGAAGGGCTTATCACTTCTTGAGCACCCCTGGCTTAGTTTGCCGGCCTGTGACTCACTGATGTGAACGGTTCTTGCTGTTGCTTCTCCATTTCTGAACTTGTGCTTTCCCCTCTGCTCCATGGAGCATCATGACGAATGAGATTTTGTACTTGGCGAAGATCCACCCGTTGTCACAAGGGTCCTTCTTGGCTCCCTCTGATCTCAATGCCTTGCTTCATCATGCCATTCAGTTAAGCACCTACTGGCTGCATAAGAAACTTCACAGTACAGGATTACACCCTCCAATATACCAGAAGGAGCAATGTCCTCCTGGGCACATGGTGATGAAGGGAACTCTTGGTCCCCTACATTACCTTCAGAGACTTACCTGGTGGTGCACTCAGTGCCAGCCTCATGTGTCAACAGAAACCAAAGGCTATCCTTCTATGCATACCATAGGAATATGGTATGCATAGAATACGGCTGGAATATTCGAATGCTCGTGGCTCACGGGCCAAGTCCTGGAGGACTGGAAAAGGACCAATGTCGTCCCCATTTTCAAGAAGGGGAGGAAGGAGGACCCGGGCAACTATAGGCCAGTCAGTCTCACCTCCATCCTTGGCAAAGTCTTTGAAAAAATTATCAAGGCCCACATTTGCGAGAGCACGTCAGGACAAATTATGCTGAGGGAAAACCAGCATGGGTTCGTAGGTGGTAGATCATGCCTGACTAATCAAGCCTCTTTCTATGACCAGGTTACAAAACGCCTGGATGCAGGAGTAGGGGTTGACGTCATTTACTAAGGCTTCAGGAAGGCCTTTGATACGGTATCCCACACCATACTGGTGAACAAGTTAAGAGGCTGTGGCTTGGATGACTACACAGTCAGGTGGGTGGCGAATTGGCTAGAGGGTCGCACCCAGAGAGTC